ATGTTTGTTTGTTTACTTTGCTTATACTAGTGCAGTTTCTTGTGTAACTTGAAGGATCTACAGTATAGGGTTTTGGCGTTCCCCAATTTTCAGAAAAAAAAAATTTTTTACTTTTCGTAAAAAGTTTTTATATGCTGTTCTTTGTTGGCTTCAAGGCTTCTCTTTGTATTTTCTGTTAGACTATATGCAGTTTTTGCTGCTCTGTCTTTTTTGTTAGTATTTCAAGTCTTGTTTTCTAGTCTATTTATTAAGTTTTACTAAATTTTGCTTCTTGGAAATTTTGGTCGAGGGATCTACAAGAGAAAGTTGTCTGTTTAGTATGATATAATTAAATTATTTAGTTATTTGAGTTATTTATTATAGTTATATAATAAAAATATCTATTTAGGTACAATTAGCAATAAGAAAAATATGCATTTTATAATAACATGTGCATGATATTGCATAATAAAAAAAAGGCAAAAAAAATAATAATAATTGAAAAAAGTGAAATCTTGATAGAATAAAATGTATATAAAACCTATCTTTAGATACAATCTCTAATCTAAATACTTTTTTTTTATTGTTATACAACTCAATTTGTATTGTATTTATTGTTATAAATTATAAATAAAATTGAATTAAAATAAAATTTAAAGTTTTTATTTAATCTCTTTAAAACTTAATTATATTTTTTTAATATAAATTATATTCTTAAAGCTAACCTATAGTACTAAAAAAAAGCTAAAAAAATATACCTTAAAATTTTATATTTTTTAATAACTCATTTATTTTATATTAAATAAATTTTTATTTTAATTAGATTTTATTTTAATCAGCTATATTTATTATATTAACATGATCAAATTGTTAATATAAAACATAATTAACTAACTAACAATCTAACCTATAGCTTCACTCTTAAAAAATATTTATAAACACATTTTCTAAAAAGACTTCTATTTATAAACATTATTTGATGAAGCTGGCACTGTGACAAATCTTCTAATTTAATAATCTATATATATAATAACTCAATAAATAAAATATTTACAGTATCATAGAATTTTAATTTATCACAATATCCAATTTTATCAAAATGTATTTATCTCTAAATAAAGATAAAATCAAAAAATCATTTATTTTATTTTGTAAATAGTATAATAAATAAATAATAAAAATAGATAACAAATCTGTATTAAGTTAGTTATTTTTCTTATATATATATAGTGCAAAACACTTTAAACCAGCAAGTCTAAATTTGGATAGCCAAATTAAGATCATCTAGAATAAAGGTGAATCATGTAATAATTGACTAATCAAATTCAACAACTCTAATAATAAATAATAATAATAATAATAATAATAATAAAATTTATTTATAAAAATTTATTTAATTCTAATATAACTTAATTTAATTTATTTATAAAAGTATTTTTAAAACCTTATATATTAATTAATCTCTTTTAAAATAAATAATTACATAGTAATAGAAAAAATATGCATTAATGCATATGAAATGTTTTATATATATGATATTATATAATAAAAAAAATACAAAAAAAGAAAAAACAATTGAGAGGAAAGAAATCTTGATAGAATAAAATATATATAAAACAGAATTATGCATATAAATATGCATTAATATATGATTCAGCAATCATGTGCACACATGAAACTTATTTCTAATTACATATATTTAACAATCAAATTTATTGTACTAAGTAACTTTATTTTATTATTAAATATAATTTTCAATTTCCTATTACATTTATATCAAATAAAATTAAATTTGAAATATGACAATGTAATCAATATTTTTTAACTGCATATTTAGCAGCTTCACTAGTTAATCATTTATGATACATATCTATATATCTAAAAGATTTTTAAGCATATCTTCTAATTTTATTAAGTGGTACTGATGCTAGAGCTTGTGGTACTGTTTTTTTAAATTATCTCAAGTATAGTCACAATGACTCTGTAAATAATATTTTGCTAATCTTCAAAAATTTTTAATATAATTTAACTTACAATGAAATTTTGAATAAAATATAACTTTATAACTAGCTAAAATAATTGCTTTTTTAAGTTTTTTATGCTATGCTTTAAAATTTAGTTAGTTTATCATTGCTTTTTTTCACAACAATTAATGCTTTCTTTTTTATATTTACTTTTACACTTCAACTTCATTCTATCACATTACAATTTTCTTTTTTTTAAAATTTCTTTTAAACCTTTTGGTTCTTTATGCAATTCAGAGATCTTGTAATCTATAGAAAAGCACATATCTTGTCTAATATTATTTTCATATATGGTGCTTCTGCATATTTGTATACAAAACATAAATATAGTAAAAAATTTAATAAATTTAAACATAAAAATGTCATTTATACAAGATAATTTAGCATATATTTATACATTTTATGCAAATTACATGAGATATATGAATATATATGCGAGATTTACTTTGTATGAAATATATTTTTAAACAAACCTCATTTTTGCTTGTTTTTTATCAAATGACAAATTTATATTATTTGCTACAAGAGTATTGTCTGCATATACAGCATGGCTGGTTGTATTATCAAATGCAACAAAAGCCTTCACACCTAAAAAATGTATCTCAAATATTAGAATTACATGTTTTATTACTTGGTTTACTAAGTCATTAGAATTCTACCACCTATTACTATTTTTTCTTAGATATGTTATAATGTATACTTCTGTTAAAATATTAGAAAAAAAATCTAAAAAACTTTAATTAGAATTGTTTTACTGCAAAAAAGATAAGTTAAAATAAACAAAATTTTATATCTTATCTTCTTTACATAGTACCAACTGCTCAGCAATATCAGTAAGAAAATCATTTATATGAATGGACCATTCTTGTTCTTTTTTATGAAGTAGTTGTTCTCTCTTCAGTTTCTATAATTAATATCTTCTATTATATTTAGAAAAAATATATTCATTATATGTTACTAAAATTATAACTTGATCAACATTTGGTCAGATTTTTATTTCTATATTTTTATCTAAATAACTAATTATTTTTTTTTATAGTTTACTATCCTTTCTAAAAAAAGTTCTTAGTAAGCTAAAATGTTTGCTTGCTTATGGCCATTTATATACATGCCTTTTTTAATTTTCAAATATTTCAATCCAAACTTATTTATCTATCTGTAGACTGTTTTAATACTTATTTTTGGTAATAGATTAAAACAAAGTTTGGGAAGCACTCATTATTTACATAATTTGTCAAATTTTTAGAAAAAATACACTATTTGTTTAATTGAAAAAAAGATTTGATCTGTAATAAAACATTATCATCCTATAAAAAACTCTATATTTTAAATGTTTTCCTTGTCTCAATATTGGCAAAATGCTATTTTAAAGGTAGTTTGATGTCTAAGCTCATATAGAATAAGCATAATAAATGTTTTTTCAGTGGCTTTAGTCACAGTAACACTAGCTTTAGTTTTTCTTTTACTATATTTTACAAGTTGATGATAAAATAACATTGCATTAAGGTGGGCACTTTCAATCTCATTGTAATTGTTACTTTTAACTTTATTTTCTAGTTGTTCAATAGCAAGATTATACAAATTTATATTGTTCTTAATTTCTAAGATAGATTCAGTTTCAGTTTCAAAATTATTATCTGAACTGGAAGAACTAACATCTGTAGTTACCTATTATAATTTCAAAAATAAACCCAAATTCATAATTTATTAATTAAACAAAAAAAAAAAAACTTACTTGTAACCAAAATAATTCTAATTTAGATGTTCTAATTGCTGCATTATGTTGTATTTGCCTTTAATGTCTTCTTGATCTTTTCAAATTCTCAACATACACAAGTAGTCAATAAGTACTTACTTTAGAAACTGTTTATAATAGCCTTTTAAAAGCATTATTTGCTTTATTATTTGTTTTATTATTTACTTTATTATTTGTTTTATTATTTGCATTGTACTGATATTTAGCTTTTCTTATTTCTTAATTTTTTTTAATTGTAACTTTTTTTTTGAATAATTGCAGCATAGTTTTTGGTAATATACAGTAGTGTTATAGTTTAATTTATAATTAACAGATAGTAATAAAAACTATTTTTGCAACTAAACCATTTGCCAAAGACAACACTTTTAAAAAAAAAGTAAATTATTGACAATCTGACATTTAATAGTTTTTTTTTGACCAATTACAATCATACATTCAGATCACATAATTTTGGTGAGCTAGCCAAATTTTTGCATTTTTATTTTTAATAATTAATAAAAATAATCATTCTTAAAAATATTTAACATTACCAAATTTTAACAAATTAATAAATAGGTTTTGTAACTTTGTTTTATTTTTTTTTACATTTTTATAAAAAAATTTTTTGAATATTTTAATTTTTTATTTTTATAATAAATTTTTAAAAATTGCTTTTTTACTTGCTAGTTTAAGATGTCCTATACTGTAGTATTATTGAATAAAAAAATTGTAGATATTTGAAATAAACTAGTATAAAGACAAATAAAAATAAATATTTCTTTAAATCATTGATATTTAATATTAATATCTGCAATCACTTTATATAAAATGCAACAATATTTTATGATACTAAAATATAAAAAAATCTATTTACAAAAAGTCAAAAACATAATATTATTATTTTACAAATGCATTTGGATACTATTATATAAACAAAACAAAAATATTTAAAAAAAAACCTATGCACAGAGGCCACAAAAGCATAAAACTTGTTAAAAAAAACAAAAAATAACAAGATTAAAAAATAGCTTACTATATCTATTTCTATACAATCTTATATTTCTTAATTATTTTGTAAGTATTAATATTAGTTCATGAAACTTAGCCAATATTTATGCTATCTATTACTAATGTTGTAGATAAACTGGTCTCTAAAAATACAGCAGCACAAAAAAAATCATTTTTTATAAAAAAAAAATGCTAAAAAATTAGTTAAATTGCAAGCAATCTATGAAGTAATCAGAGATGTTTGGCTTAAAAATGATATATTATATTGAATTCTTAATGTAAAACAGACAATTAATGAAGAAACAAAAAAAATTAGTATTTTAAAATGTAATGCAGTCTATTAGGCAAAATCAAATGCAAAAAAATTAAAAAGACTTTATAAAAATCAGAAAGTTGTAGTATATGATAGCTCTAATCAACTACTTCTTCTTTTTGATTATCCAGATCTTTATAAGCATATATAAGTTTGAAAAAGTACATAGCAAACAATGACATGAAGTTATTAAAGTAAGAACAATTAATTATCTTTATTCAGTACTAAAAGATAAATATAATAAATATTTTTCAAGAACAATACTTATTATTGGTCATCTTATTAGTATGATACACCAACTTGATATATTTGAATTAAAATATAATTACACAAATTTTATATATATATATATATTTTTTTATTTTTTTTATTTTTTGACTAGTCCTGCTGAGATCCTTCACATTCCTTCGCATTTTTTCGAACTAATGTCTTCAATATACTCTCGGAACTAAACCTCGACCTCTCCTGGTCTGTACTTTTAAACTTTCCAAGAATGACCATCACACCAACCCTGCTAAATTCTCCAAATGCGATTAAGCAACAAACACCCCTCTTTCCTTTAATATTGTAAATACATCTTGGGATTCTTTAGGAACAGAAACCTAAGGATAGCCCTTCTTGTTATTACTTTAA